AATTATTGATTGACTGACTTTTTTTCTCTCCATATGGGTTGTGTTTTCTTGCTTTTTTACATGTCTGGTAATTTTTCCCCCCCTTAAAATTGATTTTATTACTTTTATTTCAATTACAGTTTACATTAGATATTATTTTGTATTAGTTTCAGGTGTGCAACATAGTGGCTAGACAATCATATACTTTAGAAAGTGTTTCCCTGATATTTCCAGTACCCACCTGGCATCATATATCTGTGTTCATCAGGGATATTGACCTGTATCTGGTGACTTTTTTTTATTGCATGCTAGGTATTGTGTATTTTGCTTTGTTTGCTGCTTCTCATATTTAAAAAATCCCCAACACATTCTTGGTCTTTGTTCTTGAACATAGTCAAGTTACTTGGAAAGATTTTGGCCCTTTTGAGGATCACCTTAAAGCTTTGTTAGGCCGGGCCATAGGAGCCGTTAATGCAGGCCTAATTTTTTCCCCACTGCTGAGGCAATACCCTTTTGAGTACGCTACTTAGTGCTCTTATGTAATTGCAAGTTTTTCTGCTCTGGTGGAAGCACCAAATACTCCCAGCCTTTTGTGAGCCCTGGAGATTGTCTCACCACCTCCTTTTGTGTGGTGGTTTTTCTAGCCTCATGTAATTTCTCCACAAGCAAGTACTGATCAATCAATACTCAGTTGGAGACTCAGGGAGAGACACAGTGGGAACTCTTACCTCAAACTCTTATTTCTATCTGCTCAGTTCAGGGATACTACCAGACTTTACTTGTGTTCTTACTTCCAGTGCTTCATCCTGGAAACTCTATCTAGATTGCACATTGGACACTGACAATGCAAGCATACCTTGTTTTATTGCCCTTCACTTTATTGCACTTTGCAGATATTCTCTTTTTACAAATTGAAGGTTTTTGGCAGCCCTGCATCATTTTTCCAATAGCACTTGGTCCCTTTGTGTCTCTATGTTACATTTTGGTAATTTTCATAATGTTTCAAACTTTGTCATCATTATTATATATGTTATGGTATCTGTGATCTTTGATGTCACTATTGTAATTATTTTTGGGTGCGAAGAATTGTACCCATATAAGACAATGAACTTAATTGATAAATGTGTGTATTCTGACTTTTCCTCTAACCAGCTTTTCCCCTCTCTCCTTCTTCTTGGACTTTCCTATTCCCTGAGATTCAACGGTATTGAAATTAGGCCAATTAATAACCCTAAAATGGCCTCTAAGTGTCCAAGTAAAAGGCAGAGTCAGAGTCAGATGTTTCATTTCAACTCAAAAGCTAGAAATGTTTAGGCTTAGTGAGGAAGATGTTAAAAGTCAAGTTAGGCTGAAGGTTAGGCCTGCTGCAGCAAACAGGCAAGTTGTGAATGCAAAGGAAAGTTCTTGGAGGAAATTAAAAGTGCTACTGCAGTGAACACATGATAAGAAAGCAAAACAACCTTATTATTGATATGGAGAAAGTTTTAATCGTTTAGGTAAAAGATCAAACCAGCCACAACATTCCACTTAAGCCAAAACCTAACTCTTTTCAATTTATGTAGGCTGAGAGAGGGAAGGAAGCTGCAGAAGAAAAGTTGGAAGCTGGCAGAGGATGATTCATGAGGTTTAAGGAAAGAAGCTGTTTCTGTCACATAAAAGTGCAAGGTTGAAGCAGCCAGTGCTGATATGGATGCTGCAGCAAGTTACCCAGAAGATCTAGCTGAGAAATTAATGGAGGTGGCTATACCTAACAACAGATTTTAAATGTACACAAATACATTATATTGGAAGATGATGTCATCTAGAACTTTCATAGCTGGAGAGGAGAAATCAGTGCCTGGTCTCAAAGCTTTGAAGGACAGGTTGACCCTCTTGCTAGTGCCTAATGCAGCTGCTTACTTAAAGTTGAGGCCAATGCTTATTTACCAAATAAAAAACCCTAAGAAGTATGCTAAATCTATTCTACCTGTGCCCTATAAATGAAACAACAAAGCCTGGATGACGGCACATATGTTTGTAAATGATTTACTGGGTATTTTAAGCCTACTGTTGAGATCTGCTCAGAAAAAAGATGCATTTGAAAACGTTACTGCTCACCGATAATCTACTTGGTCACTCAAGAGCTCTGATGGAGATTAATGTTGTTTTCATGCCTGCTAAATGTTGTTGTCATCTATTCTTCAGCCCATGAATCAGGGAGTAATTTTGATTTTCAAGTTTTATTATTTAAGAAATACATTTCATAAGGCCATAGCTGCCATAAATAGTGATTTTCTGGTGGATCTGGGCCAAGTAAATTCTGTAAAGCGTTCACCAGTCTGGATGCCATTAAGAACATTCACGATTCATGGGAAGAGGTCACAATGTCAACATTCATAGGAATTTGGAAGAAGTTGTTTCCAACCCTCTTGGAAGGCTTTGGATGGTTTAAGACTTCAGTGGAAGAGTAACTGCAGGCGTGGTGGAAATAGAAAGAGAACTGGAATCGGAATTGGAGCCTGAAGATATGACTGAATTCTGCAATCTCATGTTAAAACTTCAGTGGATGAGGACTTGCCTCTTATGGATGAGCAAAGAAAGTGGTGTCTTGAGATGGATTCTACTCCTGGTTAGGATGCTGTGAAGATTGTTGAAATGAAACAAAGAATTTAAAAAATTATGTAACTTAGTTGATAAAGTAGCAGCAGGGTTTGAGAGAATTGACTTCAATTTTGAAAGAAGATCTACTGTGGGTAAATGTTATCAACTAGCATCACATGCTATAGGGAAATTATTTGTGAAAGGAAGAGTCAATCGATGGTGCAAACTTCACTGTTGTCTTATTTTATGAAATTGCCACAGCCACATTAACTTTCAGCAACTTAATCAATCACCGGCCATGAACATCAAGGCAAGACCCTCCACCAGCACAAAGATTATAACTTGCCGAAGGCTCAATGGTGATTAGCATTTTTAGCAATAAAATATTTTAAATTAAGATGTATACATTGTTTTTTAGACATAATGCTTTTGCATACTTAATATACTGCAGTATAGTGTAAACACAACTTGTGCATGCACAGGAAACCAAAAAGTTCACATGACTGGCTTTATTGTGATGCTCACTGTATTGCAGTGACCTGGTACCAAGCCGCAATATCTTCCAGATATGCCTGTACTCACTTCTACAGCTTCCCCGCTGATGGATTGCTATCCTTCACTGCCTATTGTCCACTGTCTGAAAACTGTTGTTCATATTTTCCCCAGATTTTTAGTCACTTAAAGTGGGAGGGTTACTGCAGTCCCTGTTACTCCATTGTGGCCAGAAGTGGCCATTCGGACTATGTACTGTTAACCGCAACACTGGAGTCCTTTTCACACAAAAAACAAGGTGGACCATAACAGAAAGTTTTCAGGGGCAGAGACTATTATTGCGCTGGGTCAGGTCCTTTAAGACTGTTCTTGTTTATTTTTAAATAAGCTTATTTTCCCCCCAAAATTTCACACATTCTATGAAAGTTCCTGCATATGACGACAACATTCTCCTGTCACAATGTGGTGGGGAAATGCAGTGGTGACAGCTAGATATCCCTCAATCTCGGTTTTTCCTTTTTTTACTAGTAAGCAGACCCCCGTCTGTCAGGGAAATGTCATGTCCAGCTCCTGTCGATGCCCCCAGCAGGGAGGGAAGCACCCTTCCTCCTTCCTGCCCCCGCCTCGCTGGAATTTGGAGTAATGCGTGCAGCGTGAGCAGCCATTTGGGACCCTGAGAAGGGAGCCCTGCGCTGCGGCAGAGCAGCAAGATGTACAGTGTCTGGGCTCTTAGTGACATTGTGAAGCCACATACAACATAATTTGTTCTTTCTACCTTTGAAATTTTCTTTTGGCAAAAGTAAAAATAGACTTGTTTTATCTCAGCCATTGCTATTTTGAATATTCCATCTTTTTTTT